AAGTTTTAATCTTCCGCTCAAATATAATATTGATGAGATAATATAAATGTTTAGCTAAGTATGAAATTATATAAATCGTGACATCCATCTTATTAAAACGCTACAATTAATTACTATACTAATTTTTAGATCATATTTATATACAAAAGATGATTATCCACCAACTGATTTGCCCTTACATCGATAATTATACCATCGAAATCAGAGATACATTGAATATTTTCTCAATATGCAGTAAAATAAGAGGACTCATTTATAGTAAAATCTCACCTCAAGTCAATTAAGATATATAAGACGTATCCGCTCCACTTTTTTGTGATGTAGATAGGCCTCGCAGATATAGTGAATTTCAAACGGCCTTGCTTTCAAAAAGTTATTCTCATCCTGAGTGGACTGCGCTCTCAAAGCGACCCGAACCCGAATAGTGTAGTGTCTCGAAACGTTAGCCACTACGACACAGTCACAAGTGCCTTTGGACAGCAGAGTGAGATAGCCCGAAACAATTTAGAATTTTGTATGTCTAGTTGTCTTCAAGATAAAACTCGAATTTAATGAAAGCTGCATGATATCTTTGCTATTCCTAATATGTATTCCATGACAACAGTCAAGCACTCACCTAGAGGGTGGCAGGCACGACAAGATCGGGTAAGATCGCCACTATGATGAGTACAAAGAATGGCCTTAGGGCACGGCCAAGCGAAATTATATGGTACCGCGAGGTTTACACGTATAATTAGAGGCAAATTGTATTATTTTAAGCGATCTAGAACCATTAAGTTATTACTTCAGAGATGGATAAATCATTAGAACTTTTTAAGATACAGCTGAAGTGAGCCACCCTACCCGAAGAAAGGAGTAAAATAACGTCAGATAAAGCAAATGAACAAAATTTAGACATAAATCGCTCAATGGCGCTAGAATAGATAACTTGAAATCGAAGATAACAAATGCGAAGTTATACTCACTGAGTTCTGAATCTTTTGACGATATTGAACATGAAGGTGTGAGACCCACAATAGGCTGTTTTTCTCGACACCAGTCTACGAGAGAACGAGCCGCAAGTTCTCTGGCAAGAGGAGCTGTTTTGGATACTGCACAACCAACACCTATAATCCCATAATCAGCTTTAAAAGGCTTATTGGGTTCTGAGGAAGCAGATTGATTATCACTTGAAGTTACTTGGGAAAAGCAGTCTGACCCAATGGATTTCCGAGTGAATGATGGCCATACAGTGGCGACGGAGCTACAAGAAGTTGGAGGCCCAGTGTGGTAAGTAATAAGGTCACAACAGCGCTGGCCGTCTACAAGACAATAGCATAGAAACTCGCCGGTCCGAGTGTCGACTTCAATCTCGAAAGAGATGTTCATTTGGCTAAACTCGGCAGATTGAGCTAAAAGCTGCTCAACAGGAAGCTTTAAACATCAAGCAATAAAAGATAAAATAGTCAGCTGCAATGGGTTGCGATAATCTCTAAATAAGTGCTGAAGTTAATACAAATTTTATGTCACTAAGTTTTTTGTCTCCATTTTGTTTATTCATATGAAATAAGTTATTTTATTCGTACTTAAGCGATTTATACTCAGATGATCATCCAGTGACACTGCAATTTCAAATTCCTACGTTGCTGAAAAATTCATTTATCGGAGGTGGTTTGGAATAAATAGCAAAAACATTGAATCAATTCATATGATATTATAGATAGTAGAATTATAGTTAAAAAAACCAGTCAATTTCATAGCCGTGCCTCGTTTCAAAAAATAAACATTAATGGCCAATCAAGGAGGAAGAACAGTGGTTTAGGTGAAATATTGAAATGAACTAATTATTATGAATAACAAATAGCAATACAACCTGATGATAAGTGAAATCATATTGCAATATTGAAATATAGCATCAACGAAGTTTAGAAAATAAGTGAAACATTAAACTTTAAGCAAGGCCAAATTAAGACCTGCACAAAAGAAAGCTCCGTAACTTAAGAGACTAATGGGAAGCGCGAGCAGTATTGAAAAAAAGTAAACAAGTAGAATAAAAAACAAACATTTTCCCAGCAGTCATTATCCACAGGCAAGGCAGTGTATAGCCATAGCTCGTCAATTGGCTTCGGATTAACGACTTGGAAAGCCTCTATTGCATCCGATTCGTTTATGGAACGGTCTTTGCGGACAAAAGGTTCACGAGGATCAGATAAGAAGGGCGGCAGACAAGGTACAAGTTCGGCAAGAGGGCTGAGACATACGACGAGGAAGTCGGTTTCTTGCCATCGTCGCACACTGCCCACTAGGAAACATTGATCAGCTAATATATGAACAGCCTGGAATTGATAAAAAGGGATTTGTCGAAGTCATACATTTAGGCATTGATAGGAACTAGGGGAGATATAGTCAAACCAAAACAAGCAAGATAGGGACGCCACATGAAATACGGTCAGAACGAAAACCTACTTGTCTAGCAGAGCAGGTCTGAGCCAGTTTTTTATAATCAGCTAGGCCTTGTGAAATAAGCACATCGCCAATCATTAAATCGCAGGCGTACATTTCCTTGGTCTTCTGCAGAGTTGACATAGATTCAGGAGTGTTTTCTACATTTAAGATTGAGTAAGGTCGTTCTATAGGGACAGAATCATTGCCATTTTGAACTGTGGGTTCAGAATGAGTAGCCTAAAAAGTAAAAAAGGCAACGATAAACACGAATGACATTTAAAAATAGTCGAAGA